TTTACGCAGCAGGGAGAGTGCCCGGCACTCCGCAAACAGCTCATTAATTCGCTGCTTATTTTATTAATCAGGGTGCTCCTTACCCTGCACATCGTGGGGGGAGCCAATGACGCCACTCCCGCCACCCCGGCTACACCGGGGGTGGGGGCACAGGGTCACGTGGGGATGAGTGACAGCTGCTCTGGGAGCTGGGCCCGGACACCCTCTCTCGGGTGGCGTCCAGGGTAAAAGGAAAGTGTAAAAGGGAATAGAACTATATTTAGATTCACTTCCCCAACCTGAAAACACAGCCGCCTCCAAGGAGAGAAGCGTGAGGCCCGTGCTAAGGCGGAATGCTCCGGCCGCGTGCAAACCGAGGCTCAGACCGAGCCAGGCGAGGCTCCCCGCGACAATGACAAACCTTCCCACCTTAAATAAATACGTCCGACATCCAAGTTTGGTCATTTCCTTGTTCGGGGTATTTTTTGTAATTTGCCAGCAACAACCAGAAGTCCATATTGACAGTAGAGGTGGAGGAACAGTGCGACAGGCCTGGTACCAGCAGGGAGCTGAACTCACAGCACAGCGCCCCCCCCCCCAGCAGCCCACCCACTGGGACCCTCCCCCACCTCTCCACCCCACCCCCCTCCCAGGTCACAAGCCTCTCCCTCTCCATCCTCTCCCAGCGTCCTCAGTCTCATTTCCAATCCTCACAGCCCCCCTCTGTTAGAGACATGACACCCAGTTCCCCAAATCCTGTTCAGGTAGGTCTGACCCTGGTGTTCTGAGCACCCAGCTCCCGCTTCTCAGGTGCCAGAATTTGCCCAAAATGGACCATCCAACACCAACTGGAGAGCAGGGACACTGCTCATCACAACGTCATGGTCTCTGCTCCGATCTCAGGGAGCAGCACGGGGTCTGACCCCAGCGCCCTCGGAACATGTGCCTCCCAGCCGTCCTGCGTAAAGCCGAGGTGAGCTCCCGTGCTGGGCGGCTCCCCCGCCTCTCTCAGACTGTGGACATGCGCGCACACACACGTGCACACGAGTTCTGCTACAGACAAACTTCTGTGAAAGCCACCCCGGCCATCTCTGCTCCACAAGGCGTCTGCCCAGAGGCAGCTGGGAATTGTCTGCGTTCCTTCCTCTCGTCCTGTCTCCCGGTCTCGCTGTTGGCACCCGTGCCCTGTGGCGCACAGCTTCCGCCCACAGCCCCGACCACACAGAGCACACATGTACATGCGTGCACGTGTGTGCACACACGCGAACTATTCTCCCTTAAGCAATCGCTCCACTGACAGGAGCAGCAGGCGAGCGGAGGTATGGAAGGGGCTGCGGTGTAACTGAGCGGCCGTGCTAACCAAACGCCGGGAGAAAGACCGAGAGACAAAGGGGGAGGAAAGCAGAGAGCATTTCTGATGCCCTCCAGGCCTCACAGCTTCACTGGGCAGAGAACGCGGCGGTGCCAGCAGCCTGTTCGAACATTGAAGCTGCCCGGCGCCCTGCTCGCAGGGACTCTTCCCCGCGGAACGGCCGCGGGAGTTTTTGTTTTCCTGATTTTTAACCCTCAGTGCTTTCTGACTCAGAAATGAAAGAGACGGAGGGAGTTTACCAAAGTCCCCTCGGGCTTCCTGCACAGTGTGACCTCTGACTTTCTCCTGCTCCTGCGCCGGCCCACTCCCAGCACACACACACACACACACACATACACGAACACACACGCACACGCACACGCACACACACACAAGCACAGGTACACAGCCTGCTGCCCCAGACACGGCGGCTCCGAAAACAAAGAACACGCGATGCCACATGGTCCCAGCCCCCCACCAATCCTGTCCCAGGAGCAGACAGAGCCCCTGGGACGCGCCGGAGACGGGAGCCGGAGACGGGAGCCGGAGACGGAGCGGCTCCTCGGGCTGGGCCGCTGCGGCTCCTCCGGGCGCTCTTTCCCGCCGCGTTTATTTAAAAAGCACAAAGGTATGAAAATAAAACCTCACCCGCACTCAAAGGCGAGAAAACACAGGGGCTCTTTCTTTTTTTCTTGAATATCCCCACGGTAATTCCTGACTCAAATACCTATCCATCAACCGTGTGTCGCCGCCGCCTGCTCCGGGGGCCTGTGCCTGCGTTTCCTTAAACTTCCCAGAGGTTGGTGAGACAATCAGCAAGTTTTCCTACTTGGCTCCGAGTTTCCCAAGTAAAATCTTTAACAAAAGCCAAAGCAGCAAAGGCATGCCATGCCCGGCTCCTCTGAGCCCCATCTGCCCGGCTGAGCCAAAGTGTGACCTTGTGACCCTCCAGGGAGGACACAACACCCACAAAGCCCACCCTGCACCCTGCACCCTGCAACCTGCACCCTTCACCCTGCGCCCTGCGCCCTGCACCCTGTAACCTGCACCCGGCCTCTGTACCCTGCACCCTACACCCTGCACCCTGCACCCTGCACCTAGCCTCTGCACCCTGCACCCTGCACCCAGCCTCTGCACCCTGCACCCTGCACCCTGCACCCTGCACCCTGCACCCTACACCCTGCACCCTGCGCCCGGCCTCTGTGGGCCGGAGGTGGGCAGCAGGGAAATCCTTGGCAGAAGCAAAGAGGCTGGAAGGAGTGACACCCTGGAGGAATGTACGTGCAGGACCACCCAGTGACCTTCCACTAGCTCTGGACCAAGAGATAAAGACACTCCTGCAAGTTTCCACGCTGCGTGCCTGCCTCGCACCCACACAGGAGGCGGGAGGCGGGAGGTGGGAGTGGGAGGCAGGAGGCAGGCCTGCGGGGGCCGGTGGCAGAGCCGAGCTGGGAGGTAAGCGGCTGCTCTGGGACCCCCAGCGCCCTGCATCCCAGGCAGCTTCTCCTCCCCTCCCCCAGCACGCAGAGGATGGGGGGGCTTTTCTTTTCCATTTTTTACTTTTCACTTTCACCCGTGGCCACCCTCTCACTCCCAAACTCTGTGTGTGTTTCCCTTACCACGAAGCAGTGAGCCGACCGTCTTCAATTTACAGCCCTTGACAAAGCATTTTTAAAATATATTATTTCAGAGGCAACACGTGAACCCTTAATTTAGATTTTTTTAAAATCTCCAAATATGAATGTCATTGAACGACAAAAAAATTAAAAAACAAAATGCACATTCTGACAAGACATTACACCTTGGGAGAACGGCGTGGCCAGCGTGGCTGCTCTCCCACCAGCTCAGCCTCGGAGCGAGGACCAGCTCCCGAGCCCACCGGCCGGGTCTGCGCAGGCCCGCCCACTCCCCACCACTCCCACGGACTCCCCGACGCCCCGAGGCTTTCATTAGAGGCTGGAATTAAACACTTAGGCCACAACATGCAGGTAAGTGCCCTGATGGGCTTCCTTTCAACAAAAACCCATAAAGTGTCCTCAGAAACCAAATGTCTTTATGTCTTGATTCCACATTTTATAAATCAAGATCCGTGGGACACATATTAGATTAGAAGCCAATGTCACCAAACCAAATAAATACTAACAATAAATAAGCATCAAGATAAAAAATAAAAAAGAAAGAAAAAATAATAATAAAAAGAGACAACAAAAATGTGTACATGTACTTAGGTTTCCTGCTCTCAGCTCACGGAAAAAGAAAAACTAAAAAGTCTGACAACCTGAACCAGTTCCTTGCTATCTGCGTGCACAGCCCATAAATCTCTCCCAAGGTGTCTCGCAGCTAAAACAATGCAATTAGCGGCTGGCAATAAGGTCAGCGCGGCAACCTGGCGGCTCTGCCCGGAGCTTTGTCTGGGATGCTCTCGCGGCACAAACAGCGCTCAACAAAGGAGCCGCTCACTAATTTTTCATACAATTCGGGCCCCGAGTAATTACCTCGCCCCTCGCACGGCCACATCTTGAAACTATTTATTTTTTAAAAGAGAAACACAGCGCGCCCCGGAGAGAGAGCCGCGCGCCGCCCTCTTTATGTGCGCCCATCAAGGCGCATCACCCGGCATGCAATCATATTTATTGTCACTTTCATCCATGTCATGCCCTTGCTTATATGGTTTAGATATGAATTATTGACTGTTACACTCCTTGTTGTGAGAAATAAATAAATAACGAGGCTGTCAGGTACTTCCCGCAGCCGCCAGCCAGCCCGCCAGGCCCGGCGCTCACCTCCCGTCACCCCCGGCCCCGGCTTCTCGCCCCGCTATCAGGCCGCCTGCTCAACGCTTTCTTTTCCAGAGACACAGTCACCCGCTCCGAGAAACTAAGGATTAAAATAAACAAACGAGAGAGGACGCGGCTGAATGTCCTGTCCGGGCAGCTGTCCCCGAGGCGCCCTCCCCGGGGCGGCCGGCTGCTGTGTTATAATTGTGGCTTTAAAATTTAAAGGCCCTCCTGGGACGTGTCATAAGTGTGTCAGTCCTCGCAGTGAGGCCCGGAGAGTAAAAACACAACAGAAAGCTCGACCTCCTGGCATTCCCTGCGCCCAAGCCCAGCTGTTGCCCGGAGGTGACATGGCCCCCCACGGTGACATCGTCCCCCACGGTGACATCGTCCCCCCACGGTGACATCGCCCCCCGCTGTGACATCACCCCCCCGCGGTGACATCGCCCCCCGCTGTGACATCATGGGCTCCCGGGCCCGGCGGGCGGCACAGGTAGCAGCCAGCACCGGGAGAACCGAGGCCTGCTCCGCGTGATGGCCGGAGACAATGAGAAGGAACTTTAAACAACTCCCCCAAAGAGTGTGTTAAATACGGGCCAAAACACATTCCTTCCGGAAACAGCCTTTACTTTCACATTTCCCCGAAAGGCACTGATTCTGTAAACTTCCTTCAGAGCCTCCAAGCCCAGCCTGTTCTCCCAGGGGCCGTGCACCGAGTGGAGCTGAGGAACCAGCGGTGCTGGCTAATCCCTGTCTGAAACTTGTGCTTCTCCTACAGGAACCAGGACGCCGTGTGGGGAGAACTCCCACTCTGCAATTGTAATGTTTAAGTGTCAGGCCCCGGGTGCGGGGGAAATGGGCCCCCGGGCCAGAGGACACGCCGCGGGTCCTACCTGTCTTCTCCTTGATCTCACACAGCACGTTAAACAGGGCCGGCTTCATTCGGTGGCAGTTTAACGCGTGTTTTCTACAAAAAAGAAACAACAGCACAGCTCAGGCGGACTGCTCAGGACCAGGCTGCCGCGGAGGCAAGGGGGCTGCGTGGACATGGAAGCCAATTAGATCCCAAGCAGAACTCTGCGGCAGCTTCAACGGCTTCTGGCTTAACACAGAGAGCCCCGCACAGAGAGAGAATCGCGTTACTCACAGGGCGAGCGGGCTCTAGCTGCAGACCAGAGCGAACCTAGCTCAGGCCCGTGGAGGCAACGCTGCTTTGGTTTTCAAGTGGCTTAATCAAAGTGGAATGCTTAAACCGATAACGCCATCCTGGGCCGTGGGTATGCAGAGCCCGGTGCGCGGGTTAACAGTTTATAAAATCTGTGCTCACCACCACAGCCGGGAGCTGCCTGCCTCTCGGTCTGTGTGTGTGTTTTCAAATTTAATTCATCCATGTGCTCGAATTCATTCGGCAGATTCCCCCGTATTCTCATAAACACAAGATGCTTGAAAGGTCTTCTGAGCAAAACTGTCAATTTATAAAATTTCAGTCCCCGAGTTAAAGAGTATGGAAATGCATTGCCAGGGGGCAGGCGTGCCCATATGGGGAGTAAATTCATTTCTCTGTGTTCACATCATGTCTCCCGTGCACACCGCGCGTATTTGCAGGTGTTGGAAATTAAATTATTTACAATTAGGACCTAGCACCCATTGGGGGGAAAATAAATACAATTCTGCCTCTTAGATTGGTGATTTAGCTGGTTCTCCAGCCTGTCTGCATTCACAATGCACTCGAAGAACAAAACAATACCTTTCCCCTCATTTTACTATGGAAGCACTTAGCAGAAGAATATTATTTTGGAAACAAAATTCTGATCATATCAGCTGTTCGTTAAAGGAATTCTAGGTACTAACTAAAATTAATTTGTAAAGATAAATGAAAACCCCTGGCACTTGAGATGCATGCAATTCTTTTTTAATCCCTTTGAACGTAAAAAAAAAAAAAAAAAAAAAAAAAAAAAAAAAAAATTAAATTAAAAATAGATGCTGTGCTCATGGAAAACAAAAACCAGAGGTCTGTGTCCACAGCCGAGGAGGAGAAGGCTGGGAGTATCAAAACAAACACATGATTGTGTCCAAATGCTAAGGGGTTACTTTGTAGATAACACATGTATGTGATGAAGGTGCAACTAGAGAGAGAAACATCAGATCCAGAATCTGCCGAGGAGGAACATTGTTAAAGCAGAGGGAAGCCTAGTGGTGGTCTGGCTCTGAGGGTGGGAAGACTTCAATGTAGCAAAGATCTCTTGGGGGCAAGGAGGCTTTTAAAATAGTTTTCATGTACACATAGGCCCAAATGCAAAGAAAATACAAAACAAGAAAGCCTAGCGGGCTGAACAGAAACGCTGCATCTCCCCCCACCAATGAGGTTAGAGGACAGAAATTTCCCTAACCCCACACTGTGCCTGACCCTCTTGGCATCTAGGCCAAGCCGCGGTCATCCTCAGTTTTACAAAAAGGAGTGGGCCTGAACATCAGGAAAGTGGGGAGTCGCCCGTCTCACCGGCCCTTCCACTTCACAAACTTGTTACTAAAGCAGCTAATGGCCGAGTTTATTTTTCTGGAACAATGCAATGGAGAAATCTGTTCCAGTTCAAAAAGAGCATGCCAGTGGGAGTGCTCCCACTTGCCGTACCTCCTAGCTTTTCTTCAGAAAATAAAATTCTAACAGAACAGCCATTAATGTGGGAAAACTTTCGCCAATTTAAAAAAATTTAGAACAGCTTCGGCCTTTGGACATTTCCCAGTTTTCAAACCCCATAAGCCCGGTGCTGGGAGTTTGCATGTGGCGTGTCTAGCAGCTGAAATAAGAGTGGGATTCCTAACAGTCACACTTTTAACTGTTTCTTCTCATTTCTCAACTCTAATTCCTATTTTCCTAAGACAAAAATACATATAATGATGTTTTTTCCATGTGACTACGTCTTTTGGAGTACAGGATTTGTGTATACATGTTTTTTTTTTTAAATAAAAAAAAAAAACGACTGAGATATGTAACTGTAAACACATCTGTGGTCATTAGATTTTTTAAATTCTTCCTTTCGAGTTGGGCCTTAGCAAGCTGGAGTGGGCTGCCACCGAGTCTGTTTTCTTCTGAAGGGAGTTTGCTGGAAAGCCCAGGCGTGGAGACCACACTGCCGGCCGCGGGCGAGGAGAATCCGGGCTTATTTGTTATGTTTCCTGATTACAGATAGGCAAGCCCTCCGTGCAGAGGACGGAGCAGACCAAAGCCCAGGGCGTCCATCCCTCCAGCTGCACTGAGTGGTCTGAGGAGGCAGGGGAAGCTGCCTGGCTGTGCCCCTCACCCCTCTTAAAGGACCAGACGTTCCTGCCATGGAGGTCAGACTCCAATGGAGACAATAAAGTTACACTAAATGCCCTAGTTCCTTAAAACCAACAAATACGTCTAAAAGTAAAAGTACCTCTTATCTTCCCATCAGCTTTTTTTTTTTTTACAATAATTAAAAGGATACACAGTATTTTCTGGAGAGTTGACAACTAGTGACAAAGAATTGTCCTGCATTTTTTTTTAAGAGGTGAGAAAGGGGAAGAAACAAAAATCAATTTTGTAGGAGTCCATCCAGAAGAAAAAAAAAAATCAAACGTCTCTCATTTAGGTAAGGAGTCAACTCCATTTGCAAGCAGCTTGATCCTGGGACATTTTATGCTGTCATGTCACGGGATCCCTCACCCACAAGACACGAAATCTGCTGAAAACTTGAGCCTCCCGCTCTCTCCGAGGCACTTCGTTAAAGCGGTAAAAAGTGCAGCCGCCCTGGGCCCGCGGGCAGCGTCCTCCGTGCCCGGTGAGCGTGGCCGGGCTGGAGCCCGTGCCCGCGGCACGCAGCCAGGCTCCCCCCGCGGCGGCCGCTTTCCGCGCGGAGTTGCTGCTCAAAATGGGGAAAGAAACAACATTTTAGAAGAAAGCGCTGTGCTGCTTAGCTTCCCATTGTTTCCCCGGCGAGAGCACACACACACACACACACACACACACACACACACACACGCACGAAGGGGAAGAATGGGCTGCTCTCACCTGGCCTGCGCCTCGTCCAAACTCTGGTCGGTGATGGTCATGATCTGCTGGAGGATGTCCCCGATGTCCTGCTTCCTGCCGCCCTCCCCCTCGGCGCCCGCGGCCCCGTCCTGCAAGTGCTGGGACAGGCCGGGGTGCCCGGCCATGCCGACCCCCGCGTGGGCGTGCATCAGCCTGGGCTGCTCGTCCATCTCCGCGCCGCGCCGCCCGGCCGGCCCGGCTCCTGCGCGCGCTCCCGGGAAGCTCCGGCTGCGGTCCGGCCGGCGGCCTCCGAAGCCCTTTCAGGATAAGCAGGGCAGGGGAAGAGACCAAAAGAAAAATCCCTCTGCCGCCCCGGGCAGGGCGGCGGGAGGACGGCGAGCGGAGGGGGCGGGGGCGCGGAGGGGCTGCGGGGGGAGGGGGAGGGAGGGCTGCCGGGGAGGGTGTCGACTCCGAAGAGCAAGGAAAATAAACCACCTTCCCGCTGGACGGGGGCAATCAGAGCCGGCTCAGGGCGCTCCGTCCGGCTCCGCCGAGGCAGGGAAGGCTCCGCGCTCGGATCGCCGGCTTAATCCCTTTGCAAACAGGCAGGGATCGGGAGGAGGCAGAACCAGGCAGGGGGTTTGCGAGCAAACTTTCCCCCGCCCGCGGCCCCCGCCCCACCGGCCGGCGATCGCGGAGGGGTGGGCGAGCCGAGCCACAGCCCCCCGCCGCGGCGGGCACCGCGCCGCTCGCTCCTCCTCCGGCTCCGCAAACTCCGGCGGCCCCGCCAGCTCCTGCTTTTGTTTAGCTCGGGCTCCGGACTCCAGAAACACAGAACCACAGCCTGCGAGGAGGAGGAGGAGGAGGGGGAAGAGGGGGAGGAGGAGGCGATGGAGGAGAAGGAGGAGGAGGAGGAGGAGGGAAGGAAGGGGGGCCGAGAAGGGGGAGGGGCGGAGGACAGGGAGAGGGAGGAGATGCAGGGGCCACGCCCCCTGTGCTGATTGGCCCTCTGAGAGCCGGTGGGCCACGCCCCCTTCTGCGATTGGCCACTGGAGGGAAGACGGTCCCTCCTCCCCTACTTCCCTGCCTGTGCCTCCTCCGGGGCCTCCTTGGGCCCCTCCCCCCGGCGCCCTGTCAATCAGGGTTCAGAGGTGGGCCGGGAAGGAGGCCGAGCTAAGCCTGGGTTCTTAAAGGTGCCGTGGTCCCAGCTCCTTAGCTCCCGCTGTGCTGGCCTGCCTCTCAGAGATCCTGTCCTTGAGAAAACGTGGCTGCACTTAAATGCAAGCGTATAAAATTAGCAGGAAAGAACACAGGCCGTGCGGGTCTCCCCCATCCCCGTTTCCCTCCTGCTGTAATGGAGCCATTTAAAACTTGATCCTCTTAAATCCTCAGACCTCAGGGAAACCATTGAGAACAAAAGTTTGTCAGCACCGAGTCCTTATGAAACACAGTCGAGCTGTTAATATCATTAATAATGATTTCGAATAAGCGGCCAGTGTAATAATAGATTATTTTTAATCGCAGCAGAGTTAAGGAATACAGAACTGTGACGTTTTTGCTGCATGAAAACTAAATTACAGAGTATGAAACTAAATAATGCTGAAGAAAAAAAAGGCTAATAAGTAAGTTCACAAAATGAAACTAATTCAGCATATCTCTCCCTTCCCCCTGAGGGAAATTAGTTATTTGGCTTAAATACGTAATAAAGAAATGCATTATCACAGTCTGGTTCTAGTTTTTAATATAGTCTAATAAGCATTATTAACGGGGATAAGAAGGGAACTGACATTTATTGAATGCCTACTATGCACCAAGTAATTTACACAAGTTATTTTATTTAATCCTCAAGACATCTCTGTGAGTTATGGAGTATTATTTCCATTTTACTGATTGGGAACTCAGAAAGGTTAAATAACTGGTCCAAAGTGTCAAAGCTGGAATTCAAACCTAAGTGTGACTCTTTCCCAAAGCCCTGAGTTTCAGCTATACAGCCTGCCTCCATCTCCCAAAAATATGGAAACCGTGTAAAAATTGGTTTTGTATACATAGCCCATCTTGTTTGAAAAGATTTAAGGTGTTTAAGTCTATGCAAACAAGATGTCTTCAATTGAAAAATGGGTAAAAAAAAATTTAAAAAATGAAAAAAAATGGGATCAGCAAAATAAAGCTAATAAGAAATCCATAGTCAAGCCCAATACCATTGCTCCAGGTAGGCCATGAATTTGCCCCCATCTTTTCATCAGGCAAGGTGAGCGGGGGTTCTGACTGCTGTGCAGTCACAACAGCCATAAGAGGAATTACTGAGGAAAGCCTGGAATATTCTGAAAGGCAATATATCCTGCCAGCTCTCTTCCTGGATGGCAGGGCTGCCTGGGGACATGCAGGGAACTGCTCTGTGAACTTTGCACTCCCCAGTCCACAAAATTCAAGCAACCTGCCAGGTGCTTTGAGATCCTCAGATAAAATGTATTCTCTTTTTAGCAACCCAACCTCCTTTCAATCATTATGAAAAACAGGTTTGGCAAGAAAAGGGGTGCATATGAAAGGATTTTAAAACAGTTCTTAACAAGTGACTTGGAGCTTATTGGCATGAAGGCAAGCAATGGGGGTATTCATTATAATTCTGCTGTGATATTCATAACAACTGTTCATTCACATCCATACTCTGACTTGTACATGGGTGAGTTTTTTAATCAACACTAATAAAAAGTTGAGTACAAAACTGTATCCTGAAATCACACATCAATCATGGTGATTAGCGTATTTCTTACAAAGAAGAAAAGCTCACCTCTTAAACCATGAAAACAAGTAAAGCAGAGCCTGTGAGAAATCAGTTTGTGAGCAAGTAATTCTCCCTGAAAACCTAACAACAGTTCTCAGGCGAAGGGCAGGATCCACACCCGAAGGTCATTGTCGTGGAGGAACATTTTAGTAGAGAAATGAGAAACACACACAATGATGTCGACGAGAGCTGGTTTTTATCGGGTGCTTTACAATGATTCTGTGTTATTTTTAAGGCACTTTATTAATTAATCACCGCAGTTGTCTGGCCTCAATGCCTATGCCTTTAATTATCACCCTATAATGTTACCAAAGTAGGTTTCAATGTCTCATAAATGCTACGGAAGGAACACTATGCCTTCAGCGTCCCTCACTGGATGGGAAGGGGTGACCCAGTTAAAGGGACAAGACACAGACTCTGAGGGAGGTCTAAAGGATGAACCAGATCCGAAAGCCGGCGGTAATGAATCTGACAGGACGACAGAGTATCTCTCCAAGCACCATGGAAACGACGAGAAGGTGAGATGGGGAGGACATGGAACAGCAGAATCCGGGCTTTTTGTTTGGTGAGCAGCCGGGAGCCACCGAGGGAGTGGCTGGCTTATTTGAAGCAGGAGAGAAGAAAAGTGTGATTTAGGAAGAAGAATCTGGTTGCCCAACACAGAAGCTCTGGCAAAGATGGAATGAGGAAGATGGGGTAGGAAGATGGCAGAGGAAATGGAAGGAGAGCAGAGGGATGAAGCTGCTGTGGGAGCAGCAATGGCGGAACACCAGTGGCGCTGCGGACACAACTGGCCGAGTGTTGATTATGGTTCAAACTGTGTGCATCTCACCACCAACGTTTCACAGTTTGACACTTTCTTCTAACAACTTCCTCGTGAGGTTATAATCTCCACTTTGCAGATGGGGAAACCAAAGTTCCTAGAAGTTGGGCTCCTTGACAAAGTCTGAATTTAAAACGCTCCTGTTTTTAATACATTACAGAGAATGGAGGAAGCTAAGGAAGAAACTACACAGGTGAAACAGAATTAAAATTAGAATCTCCTATTTGCATTGAGGAATGGCTAGAGGTGGCCTCCGAGGAGAAGCTTACACGTGGTTTCCATCCCTGTGGGCTGTGGCCAGGGGTGAATCTCCCCTTTACATCTCCCCTGTCTCCCAGGGGCTCTGATTCTAACGAATACGTGCTGACAGAATGAATGACGCTAGGAGTCACACTGTGTTTCTTCAGAATAATGAATGAAGTCTGCAGAACTATGTTTAAGGACACAGTTGCTATCCAAATTTGTCCAGGAGAACCAAGATGGCGGGATAGGTAAACATCTGTACTTGCTGCCTCTCACAGCTACATCAAAACTACAACTAAAAGATAAAACAAATACCATCCAGAACATGCGACAGCTGGCTGAGTGGAAGTTCTACAATTAGAAGGGAAGAAAGAAGCACATTGAGACTCAGAGGAGATATGAAGGTGCGGAGGTGAGGAGGCACACACGAAATGGGCTGGCAACTGGGTGTGCTGTTGTTTTGTTCAATCAGGAGGGAGGTACAAGTGCCTGATTGCTCTAAACTCTAGTTCCAGGCAAGACCCTGGAGACCCAGACTCATATAGGGAGAAACTGGACTGTCTCACATCAGGCGGGAATGGGAGGGCGGCTTTCTCTCAGAGGCACTCGCAGAGATTATTGTTCCTGGATGGGGGCGTGGAACATGGAGAAATGGGGACCTCCCCAGTGCAGGGCTAACTGGCAGCCATTGCTGTTTGCTCTGCCCTGGTGATTCTCTGAGAGCCTGCCCCACCCAATTTATAACCCCACCCAAGGTGGGTGCAGCAGCGTTTGCATATAAATGGCCTGTTCTTTTGCAGATTAAATCCTAACAAACTGCAGCTGAGTCAGAGAGCTCCAAAGCTTCCAAAAAAAGGTCCAAGGCCTGGCAGCAGCAGCCTGCCTTGCTTCACAGCTGGGTCTCATCTGGGCAAATCCCAAACAAAGAGGAGGAATCTTCAGATCTGTCTGTAGCTCCAGCTGGGTGGCCTCAGGCAGTGACTGACTTTGCACCTCCCTGGAGATCCAAGTGCCAATGTACCCAGTGGTCAGTGTAAGATCATACAGGATTACAACTCCTCAAATCTATAAGTGACACACTCAAGGAGCAGACTCAGTGAGCACCAAAGCCCCACTGCAGCAAGTTTTGTCTCATAAAGGTGTCTCCAGCATAGAAGTTCTCCCATCATAGACACAGCTGGTCCTCACAGCCAATTGTCCTGGAAGTCAATTCCTCCCAGTGATACCAACAGCAATCAAGGGTTAACTACAACAAGATTGTACACCCAGCCAACAAAGGGGTCCACCAAGATTGTCCACCTCAGGTGATTGGGGACGCTGAGACACTGGGACCTATAGGACACTTAGCACACAAGGCCACTCTATCAACACAGGCGAGCAGCCAAAATGAGAAAACAAAGAAACATGTCACAAATGAAAGAAATGGAGGAAAGCAAATGACTGGATATAGAGTGCAAAACCATAGTTATAAGGTTACTCAAGAATCTTCTAGAAACCTCCAAGGAACTTAGTGAGACCTTCAAGGATCTTAGTGAAAATGCCAAAAAAAAAAAAGGGGGGGGGGGAGGGGATGGCAAAGGACAAGTCAGAAATTCAGCATACACTGACTGAAATAAAGAATAATATACCAAAAAGAAACCAAGATGGCGGCCTAGGTAAGCACCTAAACTGCTGCCTCACACAACAATTTCAAAACTATTACAACTAAAAGACAGAACGGACATTATCCAAAACCACAGGAAAGCTGGTTGAGTGGAAATTCTACAACTAGAAGGAACAAGAAAAGCTCATGGATCAGAGGAGCTGCAAAGTGTTGAGGTACGAAGGTGTGCAAGCAGAGAGGAAAGGAGGCCAAGTGCCTGGCTGGTGGGAGAGGAAAGGAAGCCCCTGACTTCACTGAACCCCAGCTCTGGCTGAAATCCTGTGGACCCAAGCTCATACTGGTGGAGTCTAGACTGTAGAGAAAGGCACATGGAGAAGTGGAGACTTGGAGACTCGGGAGAGTAACAGTGGGCAGGGGT